AAAAAAAAAAAAAAATTAAGGCAGAGATTTTGAAGATAGTAGATTTCGTATTTCCATGTGTCTTGTCTTTTTTTATTCTTTTTCTGTTTATTTATTTATTTTTTTTTATCATTTTTTTCGTAAAATATTCTTGTTACTTCGAAACTTTTGAAAAATATACATATGTATATCTATCGTAGAAAAAAAAAAAAAAAGAAAAGAAAAACGAATAAAAATGTAAAACGAGTAAAGCAGAGGCAGTGTTAAAGATTTATTATTTTACATAGCAAACACAGTGAGAAGGATAATTATTTGGCAGTGAGACGACGTAAGTCAAGGCTATGTGTGAATGAACACATCAATTTTCAAAGCGTTTCCTAATTCGAGAAATGGAATCGTGCCTATATATATATATATATACTATATATATATATATATAGTATAATACTCAGCCCGGCAATCTCTCGTTCCCAATCGCTTTCGTTTCGGCGTTCAACGTGGAAATTGACTAAAGAAAAGAACCGAAACGTCGAGCAACATCGATTTCCCTAAGAATTACTCGGTCACTATTAAATGTACTCTGAAGGTGAGAGGCCTTTCCCAGACCTCGTTTTCCTCGCTTATACCGTTTCGTGGACGTCCGTGTATCATCAATCGGAATTGGCCGGGTTCCTTCAATCGATTGCGGAAGTGGAGGGCTGAAATTCCGTGCTCGTTCACGATCTCGAAATGATTGTCGTCGTTCCCCTTGATTATCGTGTATTCCATGTTCTCGTCCTGCGAACAGAATAAATTATCTGTTCAAGATCGTTGCGTTGTTTTTAATTCTTAAAATTAAAGAAACATTTTGATCGAGCAACAAAAAAAAAAATTGATATACAAGGAAATGAACCTTGACAGCCGGTTGTAATTTGATGATTCTCATTCGATGCCTGGTCTGTCGAAGGCTGATCTTGAGGATATACTCTTCCCCGTGATGATGCCTCTTCGCCGATCTGACGAACCGTCTCTTCATAATTTCGTGCCTCCGTGCGATCAATTCTTGATCCATTGATTTCGTTCGCAAATATCTTCTGTGCCTTCCTTTCCCGTTAACCTTCGGAACAGAAAATAATTTTTTCTTTCTCTTTGTCTTTTTCCAACGACCCCATGAGACAATCGTAAGATCACCTTGCAAGAAAAGCAACCTTCCGTCGATATTGTCTTGTCATCCGCAGGCGGTATGTGATACGGATCTGGATTTATCACGAATGTCGGTGCACTGCTGATGTCTTCGCCAAAGTGCCCTTGCGATAGTGGGTTAATCGTGGACAGACAGTGACCCTGATCATTGGAGATCAAAAAAAAAGAAAAAAAGAAAATAAATAAAAAAAATAATATTCAAGTATCTTCTTTCTTCGCGAAACATCGATGACGAACCTGTCCAATTCGTTGATACCCTGTAGGGCATCCGCAGATGAATCCATTTGCCCCGTTAGGGGTGCAACCGAAGGCGCAAGGGCTTCCAATGCATCCGGCGCTCACCTAAAGTGCATCGAATTTTTTTCCCCTTTTTTTCTATCAAGTAACGATCACTATTGTTACTCGTTCGAAATCGAAAACTTACCTGAACGCAAATTTGCAAATTGCCGTCGAACTGGTAACCATCCGGGCAACCACATTTGTAACTGCCAATAGTGTTGATGCAAGTGTTGTCCCCGCACGGGGACGTGTTGCACTCGTTCTCGTCGATGCACTGGTTATAATAAAGATGTTGAACGAATCCTTCCGGACACCCGCAACGATAGCTTCCCATAAAGTTCTGAAAAATTAATTTCGAATTTACACAGTCGCAAAAAAAAAAAAAAGAGGAAAGTTTTAAAAACTGGATGATCATTGTGGCCACCTGGCAACCGTGCTCGCAAGTGCTGTCATCGGCACACTCGTTCTGATCCATGCAAAATCTTCCAGACTGATCGAGCTTGAACCCTCTGGGACATATACACCGGAAACTGCCTAGCGTATTGATGCAGGTGCCCGGTTTCGGACAGGTTCCGGGCTGATCACACTCGTTTATGTCTGCAAACGATTAATATAAGATTCGAATAATCGAAGGAATTGAATAATATCGAAGATTTTGTTAGACAAACCGTGACAAGCATCTCCGTCTTGCGTGTAACCCTCTTGGCAGCCGCAAGTGTAGCTTCCTTGAGTGTTGATGCAGTTCTGTTGGCACAGATGATTCCCTGTCGCGCACTCGTCCAGATCTCTACAGCTGACGCCATCAGGGTTCAAAATGAAACCGGCCGGACAGGAACAGATGAAACTTCCTTCCGTGTTCTGACAGTTGTACTTGCACGGCCTTGGTGTTAACTCGCACTCGTTTATATCTGAAATTCGATATAAATATATATATCTCATTTGATATAATATTTTTCTCACGATGAACAAGACTCGTCGAATACTTGCCGACGCATTGAGTTCCAGTCTTATCTGCCTTGTACCCTTTATTGCAGACGCATCTGTAAGAGCCCAGAGTATTGATGCACAATCCGTTTTTGCACAGGTCAGGGATGGTTCTGCATTCGTCGATGTCTGAAAAAGAAATTTTGACGATGAATCTGTTATTATTATCATTATTAAGAAAAGAAAGAAATGTTCGCACGTACCTTGACCGTTCACGGAGAAACCTTTGTCCAAGCATAGTTCGTTGTAATTATCGGAGTCTTTCGTAGGACAAATCTCACAGTGGGGTCCCCAAGCTGCGCCCATAGTGCAGCAACAGTCCGCTTTGGTCACCGTCTTCAGATCGGAAGTTCTCGCTGTGCATCTGCCACCGATCGTTTGCAGGAAACAATAACCCATCCTACGGTCTAAAAAAAACGGTATACAACACAATTATTTTCAATCGTAGTCTCGATGCATTTTCCTTATTCCTTAATTCCTATACCTATGCAAGATTTCCCATCCGGACTCTGCTCGAAGCCGTCGTAGCAAAGGCACTGATAACTACCCTCCACGTTCACGCATTGCCCGTTTCGGCACAAGCCCGAATTAATCGCGCATTCGTCGACGTCTTTACACTCGTCGGTCATACCGATCTGTTGGTACCCAGGTGGACAGATGCACATGAACGAG